TTCAACTTTTATTCTTGTACTATTTTCACTGCTTCTATTTCTGTTTTAATTCTACCGCCTACCATCATCAGTCAAAATCATGTGCACTAATACACACACACGCATGACACACACAAACACCACACACCTATGCTGCTCACACACACTCTACACATACAAATATCAACACACACAACACACACAACACAACACACAACAAAACACACAAACAAACACAACACACACACACATACACATATCATAATTTGTTTAATTTATTTCTATATTTAAACATAAAAAAAGTAAAACAGTAGTTAGGTTAAACCTCAAAAAAAAATTGTGCAACTAAAATCAGTCAGTTATAAAGTCCTGTTACAGCTCTATACAAGCCAATTAAACAACAATTAAACTTTGCTTATGAGATCACAAAAAGAAACTGCACCAATACAAATGATGAATTACATGGACACGTGTCTGTACGTGTTTTTATGTATGTGTTTGTGAATACGTGTGTGTGTATGTGTGTTTGTAGGTACACATACCTCATATCTAAGTATTTGTATGAAAGAGTACACATTTGTGTACGATCGACCGCTACCACTACAACTGCTACTACTGCTACTGCTACTACCGCTACTACTATCAAATTTTTTTTTCTATCAATAACAACTGTTGTAAAATTGAAACACTGTACAAAAGCGATGCATGTTGTTAATAATCATAAATTTAAAATATAAACAAATCATAACATGGTCTGTCTAGGAAAACAAAAACATCAACAACAAAACTTATAACAACAACTGCCATCAAACAAAACAACAACAACGAACAAAGTAACCCAACAACAACAACAACAACAACAACAACAACAACAACAACAACAACAACAACAACAACAACAACAACAACAACAATAGACACTAAACCATCATTCATATTTCAAAAACAAAGACCATTGTGTTTACGAACGCATACATACTTACGCACACGTGATCATGAAATATGCACTAAGCATTTTTAGCGATTTCAACTTTAATAACATAGAAATTAACAAAAATTACAATAAGAAAAAACATCGATATGACGTTAACAACAAAATTTAACAACAATAGCAGCAACAACGCAATAATAATAAACACCAATTTTATTTATACATACGTTTTGAAACGAAAAACCATTCATATTCCTCACAAACTTAGAGGCGAATCTTAAAATTCTTACTAATTGTCGTTAGCAAATACTTGATTATCACCAAATTTAAGAGAGAAAAAATCATTATAGTTAATTAATAATAAAAAAACTGTTTAATTTATCTAGCGCTTTTTGCTTTGCACGTACTCGCGACGTATACTCATCATACTTGCACGCGCATTATGCTAGTCGGAGATTTCATTTGTATTTGAATCCGGTCCCTGCTACACAGAGAGAGGTAACCCTACCACTACACTATCTTTCTGCCGTTAAAACATTTCTCAGAGAAATTGTAGATGGAAAAAATTTATTTATATCAGTTCATATATTTATGTAGTGGCTTATAAATAATGCAAAGCCAATCAAACGTCATGGTCATTCATTTCTTTATTAAACACTAGCTAGAGATGATTTAAAGTGTTAAATAAAATATAGTGTTAGACACATTTTAAACGTAATCATCATCTTCATCATCGTAAGATAGATGAAAGATGACTATTTGAAAACAGTTTTTGATAACTTCCTGGATCCATAATCAACCAGAGCAAGTAATAGCAGTGAATGTAAAACACAAATTAAAAATAACGAAAAACCAGTAGGAAGTTCTGTTTTTATGCTCCAAAAACTTGGAACTGTCTTCCTTCTTACCTGAAGAAAATCGAGTCTTACAACCTGTTTAAAAGTCAAAACCATTTTGTTTGTTCTTCTTAGTTTGCTTTGAGTTGTCGCTTTTCTATATTAGACAATTTTAAGGTGCACCTTGTATTTTTAAATTTACTTTGTTTCATCATAAAAATTATTATTAAAAATTATTATATTGTATATAAGCTTATTTTGATCCAATTATCTTAACGTACATTTATTATTTTTTGTTTGTGCTAATTAAACGAACACTACAATTATTACTTTAGTTGTAACCTTTGCGACGAGCTGTGATTTCATTTTATTTAGTTATTTTCTAAATTAATTCACTCTAAATTTGAGGACATTTAAAATATAGCATTTATTGTTAAGAATGCACCAAATTTAATTTTTTATGAAACGAAATTGTTTTAAAAAAATTGTCGTGTTAATTTTTTATTTTATGTCAAGTTATTTTACATTGTATTCTGTTTTGTTATATTAAATTACATCACGTCATAATATTAAACTAGTCGACTTATATAATGTTGCCATATAACAAAGTCAAATGTCACATTTTGAAATGTTACATGAAACAGAACGCATCTAAAATATGAACGTTTCTAAATTAATAACACTCCAATTACATACAAAGATAATATATAATAAGCAAGATGATGACGACGACAATAATGGTGATGATGGTGACAATGATGGTGATGATGGTGACAATGATGATAACGATGATAATTTACCGACACACGCGCGCGCGCACAAATACACACGCGCGCACACACACGCACGCACGCACACATCTTTCATGTGTTATTTATGTATTACATTGTGTTGGTGGATTTCAACACACACGTGTGCGACTTGTGCGTCTGGGATTTCAATTCTTTGAATTATTAATATTTTAAAGGAAAAATTTTTTTTAATAAAAAAAATGTTCTTATTTATTTCCATTATGCGATGAGAATTGGAGAAACAATTACTTCAAAAATACAAAATATATCTCCATGCTTATGTATATGTAACGGAGAACGCTCTTGTTTTGAATACAAACAATGTATATTATACACAGACAGATACACACGCACACACACAGACAGACACATAAACAAACAAACATACAGAAACGCACACACGCACAGATACATTAACACTTACAATCATTCATATACACACGTACAAAACAACAAAGCTATCACTCCCCATTCCTATATGTATTTTTATGTTTCTGAATGTTTTGTACATATAGATTTTTATGTTATAATTTATTTTTCTTTTCCGTTATTAATGTCATCATTTTCACCATTATCATCACCACCTTATCACCATCATCTTCGTCATCTTTCCATCATCACATCTGGCAAGGATCTTCCAGGTTGTTCGTGGAAAGTTCAATGTTGTTGTTCTTGTTGTTGGTGGTGTGGATATTGATGATGTTGTTGATGTTGTTGTCGTTGTTGATGTTGTTGATGTTGTTTTTTAATTTTGTTTCTTGCTTTTTAATACGTTATCATCCAACATTTATTTCAATTTGATGTTGTCGCATTTGATTTAATTACGACAATAAAAAATGAGTAAAACTAATGACTAAGAAGTTTATGGGTAAAATTGTGGTTCAAGAATATGAAAAAACCAATTGATCGCCTTAACGATGCAAGCAAGTTTAGCAACACCATAATTTCAACTAAAACATCACATCAACAACACCACGCTACAACTAAAGTCAGCAACGACAACAGCAACTGCAACAGCAACAACAACAACAACAAATAACCTCAAAATGCAAATAACGTTTTGAATTCATCAATCATAGCCTCGTGTCTAATTGGCTACAGGTGGCAAGAATGTATCTAACCGCTTGTATGTGTTTGTATCTTTTGTACGTTCTTGTATGCGCTTTGTATGGTTTTGTGCATAATTGAATAGGTTTTGTATCTAGTATTTTTTTTGTACGTTTTGAACGATTTTTATCACTTTGTATGCTTTTATATGATTTGTATAATTCTTGTACGTTTTGTATATGTTGTATTTTGTATATTTTTTGTATGTTTTGTATATGTTTGTATCTAACAGATAAATTTGCTTTGTATGTGTTTTTTTCTATTTTTCATTCCTGTGTTTGTTTGTTTTATCACAAGTACACTTCTGTTTTTTCATCCATGTATCATCATTTGAGGACTATTGTATGCAAACGTTGGCATACAAGAGGTACATGCTACGTAGATATGTTGTTGTTTGTCTTCATGTTTATTCACTGGAAAATTGTTTTTTTTTTGGTTTTGTATATTTATGTATAAATCTGTTTGACTTTATATAAATATTGTTGGTTTTGTATGAATATTTTTTGGTTAGCAAAAAGTATTTTTGGTCTGGTTTCGTAAAATATATTTTTGGTTTGGAAGAAATTTTTAAAAATTTGTGTTCAATGTTTTTTATTCTACATATATTTATTCTATGTTTTTTTATTCTTTGTTTTTTTATTCCAGATTTTTTTTTCTCTGCCAACAGTTACGACTTCAAATGCCGGAAGTGAACGAATAATTATTTCCGGCTAGTAGTATTGCCGGTATTTTATGTAGATACTCTCTGTATTTCATGGTTATACAGTGAGTATTTTATATTATTATTATTATTATTATTATTATTATTATTATTATTATATGTTGATAGTTTAATACACTTAGTCTTTCATGTTAATAATTTTCTTATATCTTTTAACGCTGTTGTTATTTTAAGATTATTTTATTTTATAAATTTTTTATATTGTTTGTGTTTATGCGTGTACACATTAGTGTGTGTGTGTGAGTGTGTGTGTGTGTGTATGCGTACACCTATATGTGTCATTATACATGTAGGTTTGTATAATTAATAATACAAAACAACTACCTTCCATACATCATTCGCATTTTTGTAAAATGCTTGTATAATGGTTATATACTTTGTATATATACAAGGAGTCTAATTTTTTTTATTTCCATGTTATTGTTGTGTGCCATGTATGTGTGGTATGTTTGGTATTTTTATTTCTTTCTTTAACGTTCTTTTTATTGAGTATTTGGAAATACACACACACACACGCACACACACACGCACACACACACACAAACACGCACACACATGTGCGTGTGCATCTGTGTGTCCCGGCATTTTCACAAATATTATTATCGGAGAAAATGAATGATTCAAAATCAACCAGCGATAAGATATGAAAGCTTATATTATAGATAACTTTTATGCTTAATTCTATATTTATATGAACATATAAATATATAAAAATTTATTGTTCTGTGTTTTTTAAAGACACAAAAAAGTAAAAGAAATCACTTGTGGCAATGTCTTAACTGTATTGAAATAAAATGCAGTATCACACTTATGATACATTAAAATAATTCACTTTCATCATTACATTATAACACATGACTTTTTCGACACACTACAATGGATCACATTACCATTAAATTACATCAGCTCACATTGCATTCGCAACAAACTTCCTTACATTACATCAACATTGCAATACAACGTATCGGATTTACAATACAATTGTAAATACATTACAATACAGTTTAATAGCACGACATCACATGCAACAGACAGGCTTGGGTCTCCACCTGTTGAACTCATCAAAGGCATACGTCAGCTCGCATCTCTGTTCGCCACACGTCTATCGATTGAAAGTAAATTATGGAAGAAGCTGAGAACAAAATATTTATAAAAATAACAACTGAAATTATAACCAACCGACCGTACGACCAACCATCCAACCTACCATCTAACCAACCATCTAACCAACCAACCAACCAACCATCCAACTAACCATCCAGCCAACTAGCCAATCAACCAACCATCCAACCAACCATTTAGCCAGCCAGCCAGCCAACCAACTAACCAACCAAAAACCAACCAACCAACCAAAAACCAACAAACCAACCAACCAGCCAACCAACCAACCAGCCAACCAACCAACCAACCAACCAACCAACCAACCAACAATCCAGCCAACCATCTAATCAGCCAACCAACCAACCAACCATTTTACAAGGATCGAAGCACTCGCAAGTGTCACAGCCATCTTCGTTTGGTTTCAGAAACTGACCAGCAGGACATAGATCGGAACACATCGGCTCGGCGCAAATCACTGTCGCATTGTTTCCATATTTAATACGTGCGGGTATTGGCAGTGTTTTATTTTAATAGTGTATTTCACTTAGAACGTGTGTATTTTTGTTATTACGATCTATCACCTCTCCAAATGCAGACAGCGCTGATTAAAACTTTTTAAAATGTCTATATTTTTTTATGAAGTTGGTTTACATATTATATATAATACATCTATGAAAAGAAGATAATTTCTTTCTTCTTTTAACATCAACAGTATTTAATTTTCGTGTATTTTCATTTTGTAAATTTTGTGTTATTTCTTTTAGGAACAAGTCTTTTTGAGACTGATATATTCTAAATGTTGAAATCTTTTCAACGTCGTCTCCATTATTATATCTTATACACAGTGAATCTTTACTTTGATCGTTGCACGGTTTTCTTACCACCATCACCACCACCACCATCCTCATCATAATCACCACCACCATCAACATCATCATCATCACCACCACCATTATCACCACTATCGTCATCATCATAATCATTACCATCGTAGTAATCGTAATGGGTTGGAACCGTGAAGACCTCACAGGTCATAAACACCAGGAAGATTCCAAGCAGAGCCAACGTGCATGGCAAGGTAAGTGCTGTGTACCTCTTCTCCAACATGGAAAACTATTGATATGATGACGTGAATGGTGATGATGATAATGAGAAAAAGATGAAAGTGATGATGACGACGACGACAATGATGATGATGATATAAATGATGATGACGAAGACGACGATGATGATGATATAGATTATGACGACGACGATGATGATGATTTAGATGATGATTTAGATGATGATATGATGTTGTTGAGGATGAAGATGATGAGAATGATAATTTTGAAGATAACATTGATGATGATAAAATGTTGAATGTTATTGTTACTGCTGCTGTGGTAATGCTGCTTAATCATAAAAACCTGACTATTTTTCAAATTTTCAATATTTGCTATCAAGAGTACGTATGTCTTAGAAGTATGGCTTTAATTATATTATAATTAAAATCATATTTAATAATAATAATAATAATAAATATAATTGATAACTAAAAATTTATATTATTATTTTAAATATAATTTCAATTAAATATTAACGATATTAAAGCCATAAATGTCTTACTTCTCTTCTCTTTAGCTTAACAAAATATTGATGTGAGTTATTGGGATAATGGACTCTAATTTATAATTATCAAATTATTATTAAATACTAACAGTATGATTAATTATTATTAAAAGCAGTACTTTTGTATAATTTTTGTTATTATTATTAATATTATTATTATTATTATTATAAAATTTTCCGAAAGATTTTTTTTCTGACAACAATGAAGTCATATATTATATTTATATCTTATCTTCTTCAGTTATATACATAACACACCACACACACACACACCACATACACACACACCACATACACACACACAACACACACGCACACACACGCACCACATACACACGCACAACACACACACATGCATACGCCATCACGATATATATTATGCAGTATAATAATAAACCAATAATTATTATTGACAATATAATAAATACGCCGTCAATACAATAATGCTTGCTTTCAATTGTGAAAATGCCACATACAACATACACACAAACATACACAGACACACACACACAAACAAACACACAAACAAACAAATACACACAGAAACACACACACACATATATTCATAGTATTAATTCAAACTTATGTTTGTTTTCAATTGTGAAAATGCACACATACACCACACACACACACACACACAAACGCTCAAACACAAACAGCGTTTCAGTAATAATTCAAACTTATTAATACTATAATTATTAGTATTACTATTAACAATAATATTTTTATTATCATCATCATTATTATCATACTATATTTTTTAATTGCAACTCTACTTTATCTTCATTGATTTTGATTTGATTTGAAGCACGTTTCAGTATAGAGCACGTATTTTCTAGTTTTCTGGTTTTTAATTTTTAACAATTTTCATTTTAAATAAAATTTTTTTGAATAAATAAATTGTAGAAACAAAAATCGATTTCGATTGTTTCAAAGCATTTAAAATGTGCTGGGCGAAGATCGCCTGCTGGTTTATGCCATTGTGATTCGGTGTACGCCTTTGATTTTATTATTAATGAAGCTGTTGTTGTTGTTGTTATTATTGATGGTGATATTGATGCGTTTTGTTAAAGTTTTTAGTGTTTTTTGTTGTTGTTGTTGTTGTTATTGTTGTTGTCATTTTTATTGTTGTTGTAATTGCGAATTATAATTTTAATGATGTTTTCGATGTTTATGTTTCTATTGGTATTGCTGTTAAAAACTTTGTTTCTGTATGCGTTTGTAACAGAATAATAACAGTAATAGTAAGTTTTTTTATTACGATATTTTTATATTTATTGATTTTGTTCCGCTCATTTTTTGTTTCATCTTAAAAGAGATCAAGAACAATGATGATGATAATAGACTTCAATTGAAAACTGAAAAAAATATAGTTTCTAATACAGCTATTGATTTTCCAATTAATGGTTAATTATATTTATAACCTCAACATTCGATGCTGGAGCGAGGTTTCGATACAATGCGTTTGATACCTGAACCTGCATCTCAAAATATGAGCTATATAAATAAGATTGAATTGATTGAATAAGATTGAGTGATTGGTTGATAGGCTGACTGATTGAATGGTTGATTGATTGAGTGAGTGCTTGGTTGATAGGCTGACTGATTGAATGGTTGATTGATTGAGTGAGTGATTAGTTGATAGGCTGACTGATTGAATGATTGACTGATTAAGTGATTGGTTGATTGACTGACTGAATGAATGGTTGATTGATTGATTGAGTGAGTGATTGATCGGCTGACTGATTGAATAGTGGTTGATAGATTGAGTGATTAGTTTTATTATTTGTTTATATATATGAATTTGAAAAAATTTTCTAAATTCGCAATTAGAAAAAATATAACCTGACGAAACGAACCATGGGACTGTCTACAAAGGATGTCCCACATTGTTGCAGTTTCTTTTTGTCTCCTCACATAAAAAACATTTTTCGACTCGCTCTTCAAGACGGGATGTCACATCAGGTTTTAACTTCACTCTTGTCACAAAGTGTCACACATTTTTTGACCCCCACCCATAAAAATGACATCACTCGTGGTCAGCCCCAATCATACAAACAAACGCAGACACATACAACAGCATGGTTTTCTGCCAACTACTGCTGTTGCTGTTGTTGGCAATAATATTTTGATAAGAAAGGAAAAAAAACGAAATGAAATTTTATTTTTAAAAGTTTATTAAAGAGTCTGAAATTTGTCTGAACGTGAACGAACTTGCAGTTTAGCAAATCTCAATCTTAAACTTTTTCAAGTTTTAGATTGAGATTTTCTTTTTTAATGTTACCTGCATTGTCGCGAAAACATCCTTGTTGCTGCCAAAATCAACATCATCATTACAATCATCAGTATCATCATCAACGTTATCATTATCTGCATTGTAATCATCACCGTCATTATTAAACTTGTTATCATCGTCGTCATCATTGTCATCTTTATCTTACTAAAAAACAGTCGTCGTCCAAATAATAAATTGAATAATTTATAAAACTAAATAAATAAATATGTATGAAAAACGTTTCATTTTTTTTTTCAAGAAATAATTGTGACTTGAATAAAATGTTATTAATCACCATCATCGTCGCCATCACGTTTGTTCATACTGATAATAAAACTATTAATACTGGGGGTTCTACGGCCAAGTTTCTGAGTATTAATTATTATTTTATTTCATTTTATTCATTTTAATTTAATAAATTCATAATTTTTTAAAAAGTAAACTTTTAATATCTATTCATTATATTCAAATTGAAGATACTATGTAAAAATTGGGACGCATTATTCGATAATATATGATAAAAATTAACATAAATGTCTCGAGTGGTTTGTTGATTGATTGATTATAATAAAAAATACTTTTCATCCAGTGCTGTACGTTGTATGGCTGTTGTATAAAAAACAAAAATTTGGCGAATTTGAAATATATATAATAAATAGTTGTTAAATATTTTTAACGATTAAAATAAAATTTTCAAACAGAACTACTAACTTTGCGAAGTTTGTATACATTTTTTCGTAAAACTGCATTTAAAAACACTATCATGATAAAAACAAACATACAAAACGCATACACACACACACACACCCAAAAACACGCACGCACACATGCATACAGGTTTCTGCAACACAGCATTCAGATGCAACAAACTGTGTCGGTTCGGAGGTCACCTGTCGACAGCCAACCACAGACACGACTGCTTCTTCTGCTGGTGCAACCTTTTCATCTGCCCCGATTGCCTTCTTCATGAAAAAAATATGACTGATGTCGTTTCTATAGCCACTGTCTATGAAGTCCATCCAGGTATTTTTGTGAGGAGTGAGATGAAAATGATGACGGTTAAGGTTAGGATGATGAATAGCTCAGTTGGTAAAATGTAACGTCTCTCGTTGTTACAGCGCACTAATCTGGTTCAAATATAGTCTGCTCGAACTTCAAAACTATCACGTGTCAAGAGTGTATGGTACGGTTTTTGAGTGTGCAACATGCATACATATAGCCTATATAGCTTACGTTTTGTGATTGGATGGCTGAGATTTTGCTGGACGAAGGTTTAACCGTAAGGATGATGTTTAAGCGGTTCAGTGCTTTGCTAAATAACAAGGAGCCAAAAATTGTGATGCTGGAAATTGTAGTATTGATGATGAAGATGATAATTTTACCATTTTTAGGCTAACCAATCGTGAAATATGTCAGTTTTTATTAAAAAATCAATTTAACATTTAATCAAAATTTTAGAGAATCAAAAAATAATTCTGTCAAACAATTCGTTAATCAATTAATTGGTCCAGGGGTGGGCAAACTTGTTCGCAAAAAAATAGGTTGTCAGCCAGGTCAGCCAGGCAGTATGACCAAACAAGGAGCCACAAATCTTTAAAAAAAATTTTCCTCGGACGAAAAAATTTCCTATTCAAGTACATATGCGGCCCTTCAAAAGTAGAATAGTTCTCAATGCGGCCCTCACGGACAAAAAGTTTGCCCTACCCTGAATTAGTCTATTGTTCAATTAGTGTCATTCAATTAGTTTCTCAACCATTCAACCAACCAACCAATTAATCAATCAACCAACCAATCAATTAATTAACTAATCTATTAAATAAAGTGACCAGACCATGTCAACAGTGTCAGTCATGTTCTTCTGAAAAAGAGTTCCATGCCCTAAAACAAGACTTGTGTCCCGATTGTAACGCTTGCTTTGACCCTTGCAATGTAATTTATGTTTCATTGTTGATGGTGCAATTGATGTTGGTGTTGTTATAAGATACAGTGTATTCTACAGGCGCATTTTGCTTTTTAATCTAGCCATTGCAACCTTACAACGGCATTATCGTCTACTTTATGTTGATATTTTAGTTCTAACATTTGTTTCCTATTTGAATTTATTTATTTATAATATTTAGAATGAAAATCATAAATTTTCAATTTTACGAATAAGACGAAATAATTTTATTTTCCATTGAATAATTTTCCATCCTGCAAGCAAGCAAGATGCCAAAAATGGGACACATGCAAGGTGGAAGTGGAGGTGACGCGTAAAGTTACCTACAGGTACTCCGCTCACTGTATTAGGTTGGTTTTACTTTGTCTGAAGAAAATATTTTGCATGATAAATATCCTGATACAATCAGTGGCGGATCCAATCCAGTGGGATCTAGGGGAGTGCCGGAATGTATCTCTCCCTTACGAGACTATAAAAAAAAGAAGTTGTTGAAAAGTTTATGTAAATTATTTTACGTCATAATTTATTATTTTTATGAGTAAACGAGCATAAAAAAATTATAAAGTTTAGAATTTCGAAAATCATCCCTCCAACATTACCTCTCAAAAATAATCCAACTGAAGAAATCCAGATCCACCACTGAATTTAATTTGTTTATATAATTATAATAAAATACAATTATAACGATTTAGTTGTAAATAACACAACATTTTAATAAAGCCACTAATGTAAAAGTACTTAGCTATGAACCAACTCGTCAAAGTTTTAATTAAGACATAACATTATTTTTCCAGAGAGTCAATAAACTTTAATGAACTAATTGAAAGAGTCATT